GGAATTTATAATAAATTATATAAGAAAACTTTCACTCACTTTTATTCCCATATATTTTAATTTTACTGTTACGTTTGACATTTCAATGACATATTCATCCATGGTACGAGAACCATCAAATTTGATGGTAGTTAACATACCTATTAATGTCCCAACAATTGACTTACTAGCAGAGAAAGATTGATACATATTTTTCACAAACTTTAAAAATTCCTTACATTATTAGTTTTAAGAATTGTTGAATTAACGTTGTTTGCTACTATCATTTGCATGAAAATCAAACTCAGTCTATTTGATCTTTCTCAAGCATTATAAAAAGACTTTTGCTTAGTATTACTAAAATTAGTAATAGTAGCAGGCTTATCAGTTAGAAGTGCCAAATCAAGATCTAGAACACTTAGATGATATTGGACTTGTTTACACCATTTAGAAAGATTAAGCCTATTGAACTTTAAACAACACTTGCAAATGAAGAGAAATAGGAACAAATTATGCAAAATAGATAGAATGCTTATACGTTAATACTAGTTGTAACTTAAATATATGATACAGATTCAAATAACAGACATATAAACATTAAATGTTCATTGAAGTTTTCATTTGGGTGATCCAACAATGTACAACAACAAACATAATTGATACTTAATTTTGATTTCACATAATTGGCAATTATATATACTCCAATTAGACATACTTGCTATCTTTATATATGCAAAAATATCTAATGAATTATATTAATCAACTACAATTATTTTCATGATTACAAAATTAACCAATCTACCTTTGGGTGATCCTTCAATATTTTATAATCATTGAACTTCAATTTACTCAAAATATATATATATATATATATTATCATGTCATCTTATTTATAGTATCACACAATTATGAGTAATTAAATTTTATTTAATTTGACATTTACAAAAACTTTTTAATTTGGCCACTTTGGTGACTAACAAATTATACATATTATAGATATTAAAATAAATAATCATAACAATTATTTTAATAATAATAATAATAATCCAAAACATACATATGCGAAAGGTGTTACTGTTGTAAGTAAACAAAATACCTAAAAACTATCGTATATAAATTTCGCATAATAATTGTATCCTATATACACAATTCAACATTTTATTATTAACAATTTAATGACTATTAAGTTTCATTTAGTTTATCTTACATTTATTATGCCACCTTCGTTACCTTTCTTTACGTATTATATATATTAATATATATTCATTAATCTAATAAATATATATTTATTATGCTATTTTTTTTCATTAATAAATATGGTTTATTACTATATTTAATTTATGCCAGGATATGAGTTGCTATTTGCTAATGATACATTATGATTTCAACAAAATATGAAACAAAATAAACAACTAATAACAATATGAAAATAAATAATAAAAAATAAATAAATACATAGAGCAATCTTTAAAGAAAAAACACAGGTTCTTAAACCAAAGGCACTGATACCACATGTTGAATTTTTCTTTATTATGTAAATAAATATTAATTTTATATAGTCTTAATGCCCAATGTTTTAGAATAAGATGATTTTCATAAATTTCTAATTAAAGAGAAATCATACCTTGATCCGTAATTATTTTTTATTTAAAAATGGTGTTTTATAATTTTTTCTCTCACTTGACCATTTAGCTTAACACACACTCTTGATGAATAGAATTTATCAATTTATAAGCAGAGATAGTATAGCGTTTTTTTTTGTTTGTTAATGCCATTCAATTTATATGTTCCATCACAGTATGAATTTTAAACAAAAATTTTCCTTTTGTTTTAATTACTTTCATTAATTGTTTCATAAATAAAAAAAAACTTTCTTCATTATTTATTGATCAAAAAGATTTTTTTTTACACATAATAATTATTAAATCATTAATATATTTAAAAGATATTTAAGGATAGATAATGAAACGTTAGTCATAATATCTTACACATCCATCCAAAGATAGTATTAACACTTCACAACATTCATTAAAAAAAAACCATCCAAAGATGGTGTTAGCACTCTCAAAAGTTCCATCCAAAGACTGTACCAATTAAGCTTATATTATCTTAAAAGGATCTTATCTAAATAATTTTTTATTTTTAATTAAATATTATTATTTAAAATACTAAAAATTTTTAGGTTTTTTTCTAATATTTTGATAAAATTTTAGGTTTTTTCTAATATTTTGATAAAATTTCAAGAAAAGTCTCTCATCTTAAGAGTATTTAAGAAATCTATTCGTTTTCTTAAAAAGGTTTTGTTGTCATATTGATTTAAAATTTTATAGAAAAGGTTTTTATCTATATTTAAATTTATTTTTGATTTTACCAACTTTTTGCTAAATATTTTATTAAAAATAAATAAAATATTTTTATTAGAGTACTTCCAAAATCTTTCCAAAACTTTGGTAAGATTTAAGGAAAATTTATCGCCTATGAATTTCAAGCACCATTTACAATTTTCTTCTAATTTAATTATTTTTTAAATTTACATGATAGAAATAAATAATATAATTACAAATATTACAAATATTATAAATACATTTGTCTAACACATATTTTTAGCTTTTTGTTATCAAATGATTAAAATACGTTCCTAATATATATGTAGGTAAATAAAAAATAAACAAATAAATAAGCAAATCAATAAATAAAAATTAAATTAAATTAAGATTAAAAAGAAAACAAAATAAAAATACCAAAATAAAAAATTAAAAAAATTGATTGTCATGTGTCTAAAACAAATAAAAATACCTAAAAGTTCTTTCTCCAAAATCACCCCCAACTAATTTATTTCATGACTTAATTAACCATCTAATCAATTTTTATGTTTAATCTTAGCTGTGTTTGAAATTGAAAAATCTCACATTTGTTTATAACTTTATAATTGTATAGATAGATATAATTAATATAATTATATTTTTTATTTTTTATTTTTATAAAATTAATAGTTGATTGATATTTATTATATTGATTAAGCGCACATTTGTATATAATTCTTTGCATATTTGATTAATTGCATAGTAATTTTTTTATTTCTTGAAATTTTGTGATAATTTTTGTTTGATTTTGTGACTTCCTTAAAAAAAAAAAAAACCAACTCCAAAACGGCTTAATTTGATTAAAGGCTTAATTGTTTGATTTTTTAATTAAGATCTTAATTAAATATAATATAATAACTCAAATTTAATGTTTACTATCTTAACTAAAATATTAATCAAAGTCTTAAATACCCCATTTAGAGTTAGTTGAAAAGTTCAAATCAACCCTAAACTATGATTAAATGTCCCAATTAACCCAAATTCTCAAGTTAAGAGTCAAATTCATCCATCGCATCGTTATTTATGACTCAACTTGGACGGCTAAAAATTAAGCTTCAATTTTTTATAGAGATTAATTTAAAGTTAGTTGAAAAGTCCAAACCAACCTTAAAACTATTACTAAATATTTCAATTAACCCAAATTCTTAAGTTAAAAGTGTAATTCATCCATTTATATCTTTATTTATGACACAACTTAAATAACTAAAAATTAAGCTTCAATTTTTCATAGGGATAACTTTAATATATTTTTATAGATAATCAATCTCTTTTCTCAGAGAATCGTATGCTTTTGCCGGAATTAGGTTACCATATATTTTAGAACAAGTATGTTTCCGGCCGCTAGCTAGGAATTTTCCATAAATTCTTGTCTTTTTTTGTTTTTGGTAAAAAATAAATTCTTATCTTTACATTTTATATTTGATCGTGTTCTATGTTCTCAATTTTGCAGTACAAGTTTCTCTATATATGTTAATTAATTGTTTTAATCTAGCTGAGTCACTAATGTAACATTAAAATTAAAAGTTTGTTATTCCTTTTTCTCTACCGATATTTGTCTCTTTCTCATTTATTTACAAATACACAGTTCACAAACTCCATAAACCCATCTAGATCTCAACAAGCCAAAGGAATTAATCCCTTGATTCCAGGAGTTAATGTTCAGTTTACTCACAGTGATAATATTAAAACAATAAAGGTCATCAACAAAGCTTCCTCATCTCAATTAACATGAAAAATTATTTATGTTTTTAACTTGAGCCTAGTTTGATTGGATCATACAATCACTTCTAAAAAATAGTATTTAACAAGTCTGAAATTTAAATCTTAATACTTGCAATTTACGACCTCTTTTATATTAAAAAAATTTAAATATTATATATATCAACACCACCATCTCATTTATTCTTCTAAACTTTCGATGTTGTAAAAGTCCCAAAACTAGTTATTCTCAATTTCCCACTTTTGGGAATTAGGGTTTTCTTTTATGCCATGGCTGAGCTACTAATATATAATACTAATACTCCCATAATTTATGCTATATGTAACCGGTGAAACAAATGTTCATTCAAGTTTTTCCAATTTATAGTTGTTTTAGGATTTTTATGGGAAACCTTTTCTTTTTCCTTCTCTTTCAAAAGAGTGCATTTTCAGCAACTGACAAAGAACCTTCCTACTTCTCCAAAGCCTTCAAATTTAAAGCAAAAATCAACTGAGAGAAGGGTAAAAGGGCCTGGATAGCTTGCATGTTAACCAATTGGCCTGTACTTTTCCAAAGGAGGTGGATCATCAAAAAAGATATAAATTAAAATATTTAAGTGAATAATTAGTAAAATAATATTTTAAATATTCAAAACAAAAATGCATACATGCACACAAAGAATGATGAATGGAAATTCAGATGTAAAGTAATATTTTCTTCCCTGGTATTTCTTATGCAGTTTAAACATCAATTCCTCTTTTAATACATATGTTTTCAATTCAAGTAGCTTAATACATCATATATATGTTAGTTTTCTTCAATATATATATATATATAATATATAGCAATTGGATGGGATTAATCTGAATTTTGAACATAACCCTAGACAAATATACAGATGCATTAGATTTAGTTTCTTTCATAAAATCTCTACTGTTCACATATAAACCATGTTCGGAAGAAGAAGAAATTATATTCCTAAAAAGGAAAAGACATAGATGGAAAATGCTGTCAGAATGTTTTGTACAAACTCAGACTTACTGATCGATCATTAATTCTTCGGGCTTCAAGCGAGATCCATCATTTGTTTTGCAGCAATTTTTTCCCATCGATTTCGCCTCTTGAAGGATTTGATCTTTCCTAATTGATTATACAATTCCCATTAATTATATGAACTAAATGTATACTAATCACAATACTCATGAATAGCAGTACCATCGATCAAACTCTTGATTACTTCTTCTTCTTCAACTTAGAGAGGGCCAAAATTGAGATACCCCGCATGACTTATCTTCATAACATCAATATTAATCCTATGATATTGAAAAACTAATCCAAACCATATAAACATTGCTCTTGATTCTAGAAATTATTAGATACATCGTGAAAACTAGAAGGAAGGCCTCGTTGCAGTACCACTCCAACCGAACACATCACCTGGAATAGGATAACTTCCTAGATTCGCTCCCAAATTATAGAAAGGAACACCTCCACCACCAGTTGCACTAGCGCCACAACCCACGCCACCACTGCCTCCATCACCCAACTGCCCTCCACCACCCCCAGTCACTCCAGACGACTGTGAAGCCGTCGGTTGTACCGGCACTGGTAGCTCTTCTTCCTCCAGAGGTAACCTGTCATAAACTGCGTGTGCAAATGATGCAGCCATTAATACAACTGGACCTGAAGCCATCAATGGACCCGCCACGCTCCCTCCAACCACTTGACCCTGACCACCGGCAAGATAAATGGTCAAGCCACAAGCTCCTGGAGGCGCTGGTGGTGGAAGAGAAGTCCCAGTTAAAGATAGAATCTCAAACCGCCCATGGAGTGTTATGACACTTCCAGCTGGAGCAGCTGGTTGCCGCAATGTAACATTTGTGACCGCCCCAGTTCCACTAAGTACACAAACTCCCCGCCCACGGCGCCTTGCATAGTTTGAGACTGAATCAACTATGTCAGAACCGGAAGAAATTTCAAGTAAGTGGGATCTCAGCCCATTTGGACTGTCGCGAGCAATGATTATTGGTGGTTTGATTTTGTTCTTTGAGCCTGCTGGACGTCCTCGAGGCCTGCGTCCTGAAGTGGTACCTGCGCCTGAGCTGGTGGTGGCCGCACCAGGATCAGTTCCTTCTTTCTCTGGTGAGTACTGTTTGGAATCCCTTTGTTGCGATGTGTTGAGTTGGGGTTGCGATGATCTTTGCAGCTGCAGTTCTGGTCCGAGTAGCTGATGGACATAGAGAGAACTTGTACCTGATTCCAAGCCAGACATTGCCAAAATCCACTTGCCAATATCTAACTTCGATCTGATCTCTTATTTAAGTGGAAATCAAAGAGAACTGGAAAAAAGAAAAAAAATGAAAAGTTACCAAATTATGCAGCAACCTGCTATACGTGTAGCAGGCTAGGTTTTCTCATAAATCATGATGAGGTGAAACAGTTTCCTTGACAAATTAACTTTGGAAAACAGAGATTGTCTAAAGCATATATAATATGGAAATCAGGAGTAGTGTTCTATTTGACAGTACTGATTGAATGTCCTTTTTCTTCTTTGTGCCAACTTCGACCCAAGCTTTGATTAGGTTCTGCACAGGAATTCAACCCAAAAACTAGTGATCAAAAAACAACATTAAGGAAACTCTATCAAGATCAAATTGGTGTTAAAAGCTCAAAAAGTAGATGCAAGTTCGTCTTCCAACCCAGATCCAGATCTTCGAAAGGAAGAAAAGGATATGGGTATTGAAAAACTAGTAATTAAGGGAGAAAAGAAAGAGCAAAACCCACTTTAATGACAGTATAGATATACATCATATAAAACTAAATCAATGAAACTTTTGATTGAGAAACTGTGTATTATTTTATATACTGCTACAATTAATTATTTTTTATTCGTTACCTCAAAATCTATGGGTTTGAATGTCTGAAAACCAAGCTTTGGATACAAAGGATTCAAGGAGACTTGAGTGTTTTAGGGAAAAGAAAATTGGAAAGCAATGAGAGAGAGAGAGAGAGAGAGAGAGAGAAAAGGAGAGGAAGAGCAATTTCAATTTATTGGTAAAGCTAAAGACACAAAAAAGGATGCTTTGTTGACAAGCAAGGCATGAAACTTCTATGCATTTTGAAAGGAACCAAAAATACATTAAGGAAAGCTTAATCCTTTTCTTACATAAGTTTGTATTTAATGTTATGATAAAAAAAAAGTTTATATTTGACGTATTTCTAATATGTAGATGATAAAATGGTGAATAATTCATAATAGCATTTCTTTAAAAATTAATTTTAGAATTTTAAAATCCTGAAAAGAGAATAAACATTTTATTGTGTGGTTCATTAATAATATATAATATTTATAAATTAATAGTGCATTAAGTATAAAATTTTTTTACATATGTCAAAGGAAAGGTTATCTTTTTTTTTTTTTTCTAGTTTTTTATTTAGAAATAGAGGATTCAAATTAACTTCAAAGGTCTTTTTTGATTTCTCCTATAGATCACCGATCAAGTATGAAACTTTTCTTTAATTATTTTTCAAAGCTTTTATTTCGTTAAAAGGTTCAAAATCATATATTCCCTCCATTCCAATTTGTTTGTCTTGTATTGATTTTCATGAAGTTTAAGAAAAAAAACTTTTACTTTAATAGCCTTAATATTAAAATTAATTTTTTTTTATAAAATTAAAGTTTTGTGATTTTTTATGTTAAAAATAAAAAAATAATTAAAAATAATTTTAAAATATAAAAAGTAAGAGTTTTAGATGTTCACAAAAGGAAATAAGACATAACTTTAGAACATCTTGAAAAAAAAAAGGACAAAAAAAATAGGATGGAGCTAATATATGTTTACATATATAGGGAATTAATTATAAATAAAACTAATTAACAAAAGTAAGGATTTCACTTAGAAAAATAATAGAAGAATTGTAAATAAAAAAAGCTGTTAATCCCCCATTTATCAATGTCAAAACGTGTAAAAAGTTTACAAGTAAATTTATTTTTTTATTTAAAGTTGTCAAAGATTGAATTTTGATTTTTAAAATTAAAAGTTCAATACTCTAAATTTCTCTTAATAACTAAAAGGGTTAAATAATTATAGAATTATCATATTAGATTAAATTGATAATTTTTTTGTGAAAATTCAAACTTCACTTCTTTTTTTTTTTTTTCTGCATAAACTTCACTTCTTTTAGGTTTCTGTCATCTTTTGCTTCATTATTGATTTACAAACAAATCAATATAAGAGTTTGACAATTAAGTACAACTTATTATAAGGTTTTCTCTAGGACACTTCAATCTATAGGATCATATAAATATATTTATGGCAAAATAAACAAAACAAATGACTTAGAACTGAAATTCTTAATTTAAACAAACACATCTACCTTAAAATTATCTGACCAATTAAAAGTGTTCATTCGATTTGCTATCCTTTGACCAAACAGATGGGTAATAGATCAGGAGACTGAGGCTGGCTAAGGCTGATCTATCTAGAGAAAGAGAAGGGTTCTGCTCTGGTTCATGACTGATGACACCAAAGAGTCAAATGCAGCATGGACGAGGCGTCTGCCGAAAGTGTCAGACACATGAGAAGTGTCGGGTACATTGGAACTTGCCTGCCTAGCTAATGCTAACCTTATCCTTCCGTTTTTGTTTTTCTTTGAATCAAGTTTTTCATTCTCTTTCTTATTACTAGATCACAATAATACGAGTTATAGTATAATTATATTTCATTAGTTGTTTTACATACAGATCATATTACTGGGATGGCGACCCATAATTATAGCCTCCACCATGTCACGAAGAAGCAGAACCCAGAAAGCGCAGGGTTTTGCTACTAAAAAGAGGTTTTTTGACAAATTAAAGAGGTTAAAGTCTGAGAGATAGAGGAATAGATTATGAATGTTAAGATTCAAATACGTTAAATATAACCTTTTAAAAATAATTGTATAAACCTCCTGTTGTAAGTTATACGTTCAAAGAGCCTCCTTTTTCCTAACAGCTGATCACTATCTTCCTTTCTCCATCAATATCACCTGCAATTTTTGGTAACACTGATGTATCTTGATTAGATCCAAAAGTGGTGGGAAAACTGAGGATCATTAATTTCACAATACTTAAGAGGCGGTGAAAATAAATTAACTTGACCATCCATTCATGGCTTTTAATGATGACTAGATATATAACTTGTTGATTCTTTCACTATATATGGAATTGAGAAGCCTTGCTCGATCAGTTGTTTTTTCCCAAGTCCACAATATGGAATTAGTGCATATTCTAGAGGGATAAAGCTTACATGAAGTTCTATAAGTGAAGTTCATAAAGTTTTTTATTAAAAATAAATAAATAAAAGCTTTGATAAAATATTTGAAATGATAGATTGATAAAATTTAATGTAAAGATCAATAATATGTAAAACAATTATTAAAAATATTATTTATAATTTAAATTTAATCAATATTTATTTAACAGTAAAAATTCTATCAATATTTTTATTAAAAGTATTTATTAAATAAATATATCAAAATTTATTAAAATTTTTTCAAATTTTACACTTTTGATTTTTGTGATGAAATTTTTTAATTTTTTAATTTATCAATTTTTATTTTTAATTTTAGTTTTTATTTACTCATTTTTAGTAAGAAACTTTATTTATGAAATTTCATGTAAATTTTTTCCATTCTAGACAGCTACTGCATTAGACTAAATATTAAAAAATGGGGTTTTAACTTTCAACATTAAAAAAAAAAAAATTAGGGTTATCACTTATGTCTTTTTTATATTTAAAATTATCATGATTTGAATGTTAATTATTCAAACTAAATATTCAGTATTTTTACCAATAGACCTATCTGTTTTACTACGAAGTCTAATGTTGCAAATATACATTTGGAGTAGTAAGACACAAGTGCGCAATGCCCTTCAAGCTTCATTATTTTTCTTACCAATAATTTGGCCATTAATATATAATATATATTAATACAAATTAACATGGCCCATTTATAGCAATGTTTGGCCAAGATCCAACAATTAATTTGTATGCTTCTTTTGATGAACAGCTAGCTAGCATATTTCCAAATTAAATTGATAATTATAATTATAATTATAATTGCTAACTGATCCCATCCCATATTCTTAAACCATCATTATGAACATGCTTTTAGAAAACTAATAATCTGATAACCTTTTGAGAAGTGATGTTTGGTATAAAAAAAGAACCTTCTACCTGTTGGTGGGAGTCTAAAGAAGGGAATCCCATGCTGTGCAACGTGGATCGGTTGCCTCGGATATATATTAGCAATTTTTTTTAACAATTAAATTATTGTGTATATGGAGCTACCTTTCTTGAGCCACCAAAAAGGTGTTATATATAGCATGACTTAAGTACTAAATATAGTTTAATTTTAAATTTTAATTAATCCCTTAGAGATAATTTTTTAATAAAAATTTCACAGCTTAAAAATAAAGAAAAAAAATTCCAAATGCTTTTGCACTACAATTATCATTAAGATCTAAGAAGTCTATTATCATCTATAAACTATATTATAATCTGATGAACAAAATAATTTTACTTATTTAATATGAATATATAGTAATCTTTTTTAAAAATTATATTCAAATCTTTAAAACTCATAATACATATAAAATTTATATATATTAACTTATCATTAAAAAAAAACTTTATGAAAACAGCAAAAAAATTTGTCTTTTTTTTGGAGATTTTTGTTTACAATAATATTTATACACTTATAAGATTATATCAAATAAAAATAAATTCTACCTTTCTTAAAAAAATAAAAATATATATTACTGAATAATAAATTAAATAATAAAAAATATTAACATACTTTCACTTTAGTGATCTTGACTAAATTATTATGCAAAATATGAAAAATGTTAGAAAATATGTGAAAGAAGAAAAAATAAAATAAAAAAAATTATTGTTCATAAGAATGAAACTGTAATAATAATAAAATATATCTTTGAAAAAAGTTATAAACAAAAAAAATTGTAATAGTAATATAATATATCTTGAAAAAAATTATTAAAAAAAATTTATGTATAACACATTACATTTGTAATCTTAAATTTGCAAAAGAATTTTTTAGTGATAATTAGGATTAAATAGGTAATTTTTAAATTAATTTTTTAAAATTTAAAATGGATATAATAAGTAATAAAGATAATATTAAATTTTTTTGTATTTAATTGAAATATTAATTTGATAATTAGAGTTCAAATGGATATTATCATTTTGATGATCTTATTATTTAGAAATTTAAGATGAAAATTTTTAAAATTTCAAAATCCTACATAAAATTGTTTGAATTTTTAATATCTCACGTAAATTTTTTAAAAATATAATTTTTTAAATCAAGATAAAAAATATTTTTGAAAATTTGGATAAACTTAATCTTTGTAACTTTTAAATATGTTTGAAAGATTTTGATAATTAAATAATTTTTTAAATAAGGTTATTCGGTAAACAACTAAATTATTTATTAAAAAAATAATTTTTAAATTTTTTAAAAATAAATCTTTAAATTGATTTGATTTTCAATTATAATTTAAATAATTTTGATATTTGAATAAATTTAAAATTACCTAATTTATAATTAAAAGAAACTATCTTATTTTTTAAAAAAATTATCATATTTGTAATTTAAAAGAATTATTTATATAAATGTTCATGTGACAAAGTTATTTTTATATATTATTATATAATACATATACATTATATATGATTTTTTTATAAAGAATATTATAATACAAAAATAAAAAAATTTAGATACAAAATTAAGAATTATTGTATAAATCAATTAAATTAAACTGTTTTAGATTCTATAAATATGGTTTATTAATAGCTTATATTTTTTTTCTTCTTTTCACCATTTTTGTCTATCTAAACATCGAATTGGATAAATTTTATTTCATTTAATTAATTAATTAATTTATTGCTCGGAAAATTTTGATCAAAATTTTAATTTCTTGTGTTT